TGCTTAAAGAGACATCCACAAGCCATAGCACACGTGTGGAGGTCAGAGAACAAATTTTTGGAGTCAGTTCTTTCCTTGTGCCTTGGGGAATAGGGACAGAGCTCAGGTCATCAGGCCTGGGCTACATGTGCCTTTTGCCCAGTGAGCTGCTACCTTGTCAGTCCTCAACCAAATTCTTTAACTCTGAATATGAAGACAGGCCAGAATATGGCCCTGTCTTCATCAACAGCTTCTTTCATTAATACTTTTCAGTGGAAATCTATTTCTGAATGTAAGTACCCATCCTTTTTCTTATGCCGTTCATTTTCCACATACAAACTTAAAGCCAGATCATCCCACTTGTCACACACTTTGGCTGTGACATTTACAGCTGTAGTGGTGTCAACAAATCTAGTGAGAACTACTGTTTTCTTCTCCACAATTTCATAGAAAAGGAATTTTTAGCCTCTGTCTTAACAACCTCAGCACACAATCTTTTTCTTAGTACAGGATTCTTCACCATAGGGTGAGAGAAATGGCCCAGTGGTTAAGAGCACAGCCAGAACTCACACGGCGGCTCTGATAGGATGGGTGCCACTCCGTCCTAGGGGATCTGATGCCATGGTTTGGTCTCTGTGGGCACCGTGCACGGAAGTGGTGTACAGACATACATACAGGCAAAACACACGTGTGCATAAAATAAAATTGAATTTCTTTCACCTTTTTGTATTTAAAAATAATGGGATAGATTTATAGTCAGTGGACTATTGCCTTTAGAGTCCACCCTCAGTACTAAGTATCTAAAACCTTGCCTAAGAATTTTCATGCAGCTAAAACTAGAAATAGGATCGTAAGAAGAAAAAAAGAGAGAAATTGGAGAGAGGGCAAGGATAATCAAATGCTTGTGCCCTGAACACAGAGATGGTAACTGGAGGAAAGAAGGGAGTGAGCAGTTCTTTCCTTCCACCTTCCGATCAGACAAAGTTACAGGGTTTGGGGTGGGGCATAAAGAAGGGAGTGGGGTGGGGCAACAAAAACAAAAAAAATATGAAAACCAGTATCGTGTATGTTAATTAAAATAATAATTTTTAAAGTGGAAGAAGTCTCACCAGAGTCTGAAGGCTCCCACCTTTAATATCTCTGAGTTGAAGGCCAGCCTGGTCTACAAAGAGAGTTCTAGGACAGCCAAGGCTACACAGAGAACCCCTGGGGGGGGCAAAAAAAGGCATAAGTCTGGTAAGGTTAGGCAGTTTGGCTTCCGCCTATAATTTCAGCACCTAGAGCAGTTAGGAGGTTGAGACAGAAGGATTGTTTGAGTTCCTGGACAGGCTGACAGCCTGCGTGCCTGCATCACTGAATGAGATCCTTTTTAAATAATAAAAATATTCTCGGACAATCTGTAACTCCAGCACTCAGAAGTCTTAGATAGAAGGATCTCCCCAAGCGGAGGCCTGGCTCTACATAGTGAGTTCCAGGCCAGAGTGGGCCGGAGAGTGAGATCCTGACTCAAAAAAAAAAAAAAAAAAAAAGTTTGTTCATATACTACCTTTCTTTCGAAAGGATCCAGCATGAGTAAAGTCAGAAGGGATCACTGAAAACGTAAAGGAGGAAAACAAAGATTATCATATAAATCTGGATGTGAATACACGGAGTCCGCAGCAAAGAAAATAGGCTGCGGAAACAGCCCGAGGCTTCAACAGTCCAGCGAAGTTGCTAATAATTCTTGCCCAGGGTACTGCGAAGGACCACCGCCCTCGGGACTAAGCGACTTACTAGTGGAGACTACTGTTCTCACCCACCTTCTACATCATCGCTTGAACCAGAGGCAGCTGGCAGCGGTTTAAAAAAAAAATCTTGGGTTCAGGGAGCTTCCTCTGAGTTGAGCTCAAGTTTGTGGACGAAACCGAGAATCTCAAGCTCCGCAGACGCAAAATCAAAACCAAAAGGGCGGGAGCTCTTTTTCTTTCTTTCCTTTTCTTCTTAATAAATAAATATTTAATGCCTCACAAAATGTTTATAGTAAGGAATCCTTCCATTGGTTTCTCGCACTTGGCACATTTGGGGAGCGAGGTTAAGGACTCCTTATGGCTGCTTTGTAGACGCTAGCTCCGAAGGCCCACTGAACAGTTTCTGGGTTTTTCTCCAAACGCCTGCCTCCCTAACCAGCACTTCTTTTTCCTTTCCCTCCCTCCCCTTTTCTGGGATCATTTGCCTGTTTTCTCTCTCCACAGGTCTCCTAAGGAGAAAAACTCCAAGGTTTTCTCTGGGAAAGCACCTTGGCATTTTTTTTTTAACCAAAGGGCAGCACCGCGGCGGCGGTGCTTTAACTATCTTGTGAAAGGTTTCGTATAGACAAGAAAAATTTTCATTTCTGGTGTGTAACTTGAAGTCAAAACGATCTGATTTTTTAAAATATAATTTAAGGAATGTGAAGTTGGGAATTAGAAGAGTTTCTTTTTTTCTTTTTAAAAGACGATCCCACGAAGCACGGGCGTTGAACCCAATATTTAGCTGAGGATGGTCTATCCTCCCTCTGCCTCTCAAATATTGGAATTACAGACATTCACTACCACACCACACCAGACGTATTCAGAAGACTCGTGAATTAACCTCTTCAGATTCAATTATCTAAATGCCTGGGGAAGTTTATAGATAAATTTCATTTGTGTATAAAATCTATAAAGTGTAATAAATATATTTGGCCTTTTTAAAAAGGAATTTTTAGATAAAAGATATATATTAGGGATTTTTGTCTAGCATATGAGAACTGTTCGCTGGGACCATTATTTAGTATAGTAAGGATTACTTTACCATAAGCACTGAATTATCACAACAATCTAATAAAGCAAATACTACTCATGCTGTAGGAAGGTAGCTTACAGGGACATGTTCCACAAGAGGATAATTTCCCTCCCAGGACTGGTGGCCAGCAGCAGGGCAAAGTGTCCTCAGGAGTTGTTTTAGAAATTTCAACAGGATGTGTCCCTGCTGGAGATGGCCAAAGGTAACTAAAGTCAAGGAAATGGACACGGGGTGCCTGAGGGCAGGCACGATGCACTCAGAGCCTGCCCTATTAATTTCTCACCTAGTTTCTGGGCAAAATGAAGCCTTAGCTCAAAAACTCAGCACAATGGATCCCAAATCTCCCATTTGGAGTGATTCAGATAAAGCTCTGATATGAAAGGAAGGGGGCCTAGACCGAAGCAGAGATTCATATCAAGATTTGAACCCCCCCATTCTCTCTCTCTCTCCCTCCCTCTCTCTCTCTCTCTCTCTCTCTCTCTCTAAAACATCCTTATTTACAGCTTTGATTTAAGGCATAAGTTATTAAGTGAAGATTTTTGTAGTGAAACTTCAAAGTTCCCTGGCCTCCTGTGAAAGAAGAGCTCTTGTTTGTGTTTAAGAAAAAAAAAAGTGAGAATGCTAATAAAAGTGACTGTTAAACATAGGATGAATCGTGCCGGTGCCAAACACGGGGACCACAATTATACAGTATTTTAATATTAGGATTATTAACACGCCTCGAAGCACTTGCGCACATCTTTTGGAAAATTATACAGCCCTTTAAAATTTGATGTGCAATTTTCTAGACGGGGTGGGGGGGGCAAGATAGTCCCAGATAGGGGGAGGGGAAGAGGCGGGAAGCGCAAAAAGAGAAGCGCGGCATTCTCGCCCCTCTAGAGTTTCCATACTCCGGAATCGGAATTAGGCGCGCTTTTGGTGTAAGGAAAAACACAGAGCAAGTTGGAAACTACAATTATAAGTATTTAAATATTAAGGATATTAACACACCTCGAAGCACTTGCACACATCTTTTGTAATTATATGGAGCTTTAAAATTGACTCGCCATTTCCTAGAGGGGGGGGTGGCAAAATAGTCCCAGAAAGGGGGAGGGGAAGAGGCGGGAAGCGCAAAAAGAGAAGCGCGGCATTCTCGCCCCTCTAGAGTTTCCATACTCCGGAATTAAAATTAGGTATGCTTTCAGTGTAAGCGAAAAAACAGAACAAGTTTCTGCAATACATCCTGAACTAAGAGAAAGCAACTTGGCTCCGCAAAGGTGCCAACTGCCAGGAACCGAAGAATGGGTTCCGCTATCATTCGTGGGAGCACTAAGCTTTTGGCAGATTTCTTTATGCAGTCTGGCGCCGGTTCATTCCTAAAAACTACGAAGCTCTGGAAACATTAGAACAGGCGAATAGGGTTTTTTGACGCGCACCGCCAGCACCCTGGAATTCACTGCAAGCTCCTCTGCAGAGCAAACTTGCTATGCTCAGGGAAAACTTCGTGAACTCTGATTTTAGATCCATCTCAAACAGGCTTTTGCCTAAACATAGGTCCAATTCACCGACTCTAGGTGAGAGCAGTATGAAATGAAAAGTCCTAGTCCTTAGTCGCCGAGCCCCTGGAAAGAAGGGTCGATCGAGCCGAGTGTCCAAAGCCTGAAAACGGATGCATTTTGTTAAAATGCCTGTTCACAATTCCTATGTCGATGTCTTTTCCTTGTGGGAGGTAATCACCAAGGGGGCAGTGCATGTTTCAGAACATTGAAAATGTAGTTTGGAACATTGGGTAAATACTTCGGGTTTTAAGAGATGATGCGAGCTCGGAGATGCGAGCTTGTAGCCATTAAAATGGTATTCACAACCCTGGCCAACCCTTTCCTGCAGCTGGGGCACCCCTATGGAGTTAGTTAACCGCAAATAGAAACCGATCTCCGCGCGGAGTAAGCTCAGTGTCTGACCGGCACTACGAAAAAATGCGCGCCTAGTTACCAGCGCACCCCCTGCAGGTCCCACCCACTCCTAATAGATGTACTCCTGTATCTTACAGGGGCTGTCGAGTAGAAGCACGCCACCACGTAAAATAAGATCCCTACGCGCTGGCCACGCTATAAAAGGGGCGTCACTCCCGGAGGAGCGCCACTCTGCTTCGGGAAAGGCTGCAGGCACCACCTCCAGCTTAGATCTCTGCAGTGTCTCAGACGCCGGCAATTCAACCCGCTCGCCACTCTCCGAGAGCCATGGACTCTCACCGCAAGTGTGGCTGCGACTTCTGCACTAACTTCAACAACTCCGGAGGACCAGAGAAGGAAGAAACATTTCAAGGTCAGTCCTTCTCGCTAACTTTATCGCGCGCACAAACGGATGAGCGCCGAGCGGCGCTCTACGACTTTCGAGATCGCCTTGGCTCCTCACTCGTCCTGCCCTAGCACCCCGGGCTTCAACGTCCCGGTTTTTCTTTTCTGCTTTCTTTCTTCTCCAGATCCACAGCCTAGCTTGAGTTCAACAATTTTGGCGGGCGCAGACTACGGGGGAAATAGAGAATTCGATGCAAATGCCTCCTCCAGTTTTGGAGCTGGCCAGAAGGAGGAAGACTTCTGCGACGACCTGGGTAGATAACACTACAACTCCTAGAGCGAACTTAATTCGGGCTCAGCCCAGGTTCAGGGAGGTGCGCGCCGCACAGGGGTGGGAATCTGGAGTCGCGGTAGGGAGGCGAGCGACTGGTGCGGTCACCGCTGCCCCCTAGGGAGAGCCCTTAGCCTTCCCTTTCCCTTGCGCCTGTGGCTTGAGCGCAAACGCTCTGGTCTGTTTGTTTGTGCTTTTCCCCCACGCAGACTCTCAGAACATCTTTGCCTCGACTTTTCTGGACGAAACAAACTACCAGGAAAACGAGGGATTCAAACCGGCTAGTGAAGAACCAACCCTCCCTTTTGTCGAAACACCGCCAGACTGGGAGGGGTTCGAAGCCCTTGAGTTTGGAGGCGGCTTCCCGGAGGCCAACTCTCAGCTGGAGGAGGAGGCTGCTGCCCCCGAGCCTCAGCCCCAGCGGCAACCCTTGCAGCTGACCCGGCTGAAGCCCCCAATGCAAGCGCTGCGACAGCCCGTGCCGCAGGCCCCGCCGCTGGCCCCGCCGCAGCCCCCGCCGCTGGCCCCGCCGCAGCCCCCGCCGCTGGCCCCGCCGCAGCCCCCGCCGCAGGCCCCGCCGCAGCCCCCGCCGCAGGCCCCGCCGCAGCCCCCGCCGCTGGCCCCGCCGCAGCCCCCGCCGCTGGCCCCGCCGCAGCCCCCGCCGCTGGCCCCGCTGCAGCCCCTGCCGCAGCCCCCACCTCAACCAAAGCGCCGCCGCTACCGAATCACCTTCACTGAGCTTCAACTGCGGGAGCTGGAGGCCTCCTTCCAGCGTGTCCAGTACCCCGATGTGTTTGCTAGGTGAGCGGTTGTTTTTCTTCTTTGGCGCCCATTTCGCTGGCGGGCTTGGGGGGTTGCTGGGTTGTAGCTCTTTGAAGGCGAGAATCGGCTAGGGAGCGCCTGAGCCTGGGGTCCATCTTTCCCCGGGGGCAAAGCTAGAGCACACGAGCAGGAATTGGCGCGGGGGGGGGGGGGGGGGGGGCGGGTTAACGGGGGTGGGGGCGACGGAGCGACAGGATGGGGGCGGGGGGGCGGGGCGACGGATGGGGGCGGCGAAGCGAAGGAATGAGAGCGGGGGGGGGGGGGGGGGGGGGTGGGGTGGGGGAGGGGCCAGAGCGAGGGGGGGTGACTGAGCGAGGAAGGGGGCGGCGGGAGAGGGCTGGGAAGAGAGGGCGGGACTGCGGGGGCTGCGGGCACGGGACGCGGTGAGCAAGGAGGTCGCTGCTCTGCCAACCTGGAACCCCTGGAACCCGCTTTACTTAAAATGTTAATAGTCTATAATCATAAATTTCGAGTTTTTGTTTTGTACGGTTTGACATTTTTAAAATATTATAGTAAAAAGTGATTTTACACATTTAGTGAACTTTAAAACCCTTTGATTTTGCACGTGAGATGAGCGCCACGGAGGACCCCAGTAGGGCGTGGCGGCTACATCTGCCGCTTTTCTCCCACCTAGCCCTGCAAAGCGCTGAAACTTCTTACTGCGCTGTGGTCCTGACGCTGTAGGGGAAATCCCATTCATTTTAGCCCGGGTGAAATGAGGGACGGGGTTGGTTGGTGTATGTAATGAATACAGAGTCTGCTCTGACTTTGCGGCACTCAGTCTTCAGATGAATACAGAGTCTGCTCTGACTTTGCGGCACTCAGTCTTCAGATTAGAAACAGAAAAAAATAATTTCCACTGAGCACCCTTGGACCTAAATAGTTTTGTATTTCCTTCTTTGAGAGTTTACCTATCCCTCTTAGAAGAAACAGAAATATTCAGGTCCAAAGGACCATTTGGGGGTTAGGAATTTAGCTCAGTGTTAGAGTTCTTACCCAGAAAGCCCAAAGTCCTGAGTTGAATCCCGAGCAGCAAGACCAGGGTGGCAGGTGGATGTAGCACTTTATGGGTAACTTGGCTGTTTGGTTTTTATACAGAACAACCTCTCAAGAAAAATGTTTTGAGGGGTGTTCTCTACTGATTCGCAAACAGAAAAATAAAGGCCATATTTAGTTAAGTAACAGACATTTTCATATATATTCCCTTTTTAATTTTTTTTTATTTTTATTTTTCGAGACAGGGTTTCTCCGTAGCTTTTGGTTCCTGTCCTGGAACTAGCTCTTGTAGACCAGGCTGGCCTCGAACTCACAAAGATCCGCCTGCCTCTGCCTCCCGAGTGCTGGTATTAAAGGCGTGCGCCACCACCGCCCGGCCATATATTCCTTTTTTAAATTTTCAATTGAAGAGATAACTTGTGACTAGGAAGCCACTCCCTAAATCAAGTCTCTGCTATTATAGAAAACTGCACTGGGAGGTTAGGTTAGATTTAATGTACATCCATATCTTTCTTTTTAGCCACAACTCCAATACTAAACATTACTTATTTTCTCCCATCAGAATGGAACTTGCCCAACGCCTGGGTTTGCCTGAATCCAGAGTGCAGGTTAGTAAATTTTGGAAAAGCAATTAGGTACAACAGGTATTCTAAAACACATTGTAGGTAATGTTTTGTGCTGGGAATTCTCAAGTTGGTATGTTTCTTTGGTGTTTTCTCTTTTTTTTGGCTAATGAATTTTATATTTGAACATAATTGGTCACATGGCCAAGGGATCCAAAAATGATACTGAAGGAAGCATCTGGTTATTTGGATTTTCAAAGGGCAAAGACAATTTCTTACATGTAAGGTCTTGTTTTCCTTTTTGGTGTTTTTTATTTTAACCTACGTTTTCTGGAATCTGAAAGTGCTCTCTTATCTGTGTTAATGTAAAATACCTTTTCCGTTTATTTAGGCATGTGTGGTGGAAATAGCTGTGTATCGGTTGGTGAGACATACAGAAAATCACCCCCACCAAAGCAGGCCGCTGAGTTAGAGCATCTTGAAGCCACAGGCTACTCCCTTAGGCAGACCTAGCTCAGCTTGAGAGGTCAACAAAGCAGATTCTGAGGAAAAGAAAAACTTAAGTTTTTCTGAGTGACACTTTACACACACACACACACATGCACGCATGTGCACGCAAATAACACACCTCTGTCCAAGGCCCGGAAAATAGTTAAAACAGCATTAAAGGGGGAAAAGAGAAATACAATATTTCAAACTCTACACCAGGTTTAGAGCAGTAGTTCTAATTTTAGCGGCCTGTAGGGTTTTTCCTATTAATGACATTAGTTGTCCAATATCCTAAATAATTTTTCCCCTTCTAATTGTAGATTTGGTTCCAGAACAGAAGGACCAAGTGGAGACAACTTCAGCAGGCACATTTATGCAGGAGCATGTTTCCAGTTGCCATGAGTACCCCCGTGGGTCTATACATGGATGATCGTTACGGCCCCATCCCTATCGTGGAGGTTATTTGGAGATATCAACCTGTGGCACCCCAGCCAATCCATCCTCACATGCTGCCTCTCCCACCCCTGGTTCCCCCACCATTCATGCCTATGCCACTAAGGGGACCCCATCCACCTCCATTTCCCTGGCCACCTGCGCCACCTAATGCTCCTAATGCTCAAAATGCTCATAATGCTCCTAATGCTCCCAATGCTCAAAATGCTCCCAATGCTCAAAATGCTCCTAATGCTCAAAATGCTCAAATGCCCAATGCAGGTATGGGATATGTCCCCAACCCCAATGGCCAGTTCTAAGGTCCTGAAAACTGAAGTCTACATCAGTTTTCCCAAAGTGTTTTCCAATAAGATTCCAATAAGATTTTTCCAATAAGTGGTTTCCAATAAGTGTATTCCGTTAAGTGTTTTCCAATAAGATTCCAATAAATATTTTCCAATAAGTGTTTTCCAGTAAGATTTCCAGTAAGATTCATGCTGTTCATAGACATTGTTAAAAGTTACTTATAAAATAGCTGTTAAGGGCTGGAGAGATGGCTCAGAGATTAAGAGCACTGGCTGCTCTTCCAGAAATCCTGAGTTCAATTAGCAGCAACCACATGGTGGCTCACAACCCTCAGATCTGGCACCCTGCTCTGGCGTGCAAGCATACATCGAGGCAAAATGTTTCATATATAATAAATAAGTAAATCTTAAAAAAATACTTGTTAAATGAAATTGTGTGCACATATTCTCTATGTAAAGTTATGAGTTCAATAAAAGTTTGGTTTAGCAGCATATTGGCTTTGAGGATCATCCTGTGTTAAGGGCATGGGTGGAAATTGCTAAGAGAATGAAATTTTAACAGAATATTGCAGAGGCCTCCTTTTATAAGCTAGTATCCCTAGGTTACTCTCAATAGGATTTGTTCATCACAAAATTGTCCAAGAGCCCAAAGCAAGTATACATAGAGTAACACACGGTCTCTGCACACCTCACCCTCTACATTATTATTTTGCCCAGGTGAAAGAGCGCATGCACGTGCCAGATGATTTGGGGGTGTTTCTGGAATGGAAGCAGTCATTTCTAAGCAGGGAGGTGTTGCGGGGGGGGGGGATAACAGCCAGTCACCTGACCAAAGCCCTAATTTTCTAAATCAATGTTTTCTCATTTGTGGAGGGTATAGGGATTGTACGCATTCTGGCCCTATAGCTCTGCTGTTTGAAAGAAATGAGAGTTAGCTCATCAAGACTGGGAAGGGAGGGGGCAGAGAGACATCTCAGGAGGTGAAAGTGCTTGAGATGCAGGCCTGACTAAGTGAATTCGATCCCTGGATCCCTGGAACTCGCAGTGGAGAGAAAGAAGTGACTCACCAGATTTGTCCTCTGTACTTCACACATGTGCTGTGGCCGATGCATTCCAGAACTCAAGGCACATCACACATGCATAAATAAATGTTTATAATATCTAAAAAAAGACCATAGGCTGGGAGTGGTGGCTCGTGCCTTCAATTCCAGTCTCCTGGAAAGTAGAATCAGGCAGTTCTCTGATTTCGAGGCCAGCTTAGTCTATAAAGTAAGTTCCAGGCCAGTTAGTGATACATAGGCAGACCATGCATTTTTTTAAAGTAAAATAAATGTAAAGAATGATAAAATGATATTGCACCCTTCCCTACTCACAGGCAGGAGAGTCTGTTGCTATAGATTTCCCAACTTAAAAAGCAGACATTTCACCATATAAATATAAATTTATATAAATATAAATAATATATATATTTACATTAAACAAGCTGGACAGAATCCTAGCTCCTAGAGGTGAAACACTGAAAGGAAATCTGTTGGTTTAATGCTGCTCCAAACAAAGGACGATGTTTTAGAATAATTCTTGCAAGGCAGCACTCTTGGCTAGAGTAATAAAGTGGTCGAGTATTTATGAGGCCATAGGTTCTCTTCTCAGCGCTGAAACTTGGAAGCGATCAGAATGCTATTTCATTTATGCCGTCTTTATGCCAATCTCCCCAGGCAGAAAGCAGCCAAAACCAAAATGCGGGATGGAAGAAGGGGACCAGTATCACAATTTTGAAAACATTTAACTTTTTTTGCAGCTTACTATTATTATTGTTGTTGTTGTTGTTATTATTATTACAAATTTTCATTTCCTCCCCTCCTCCCATTTCCCTCCCCCTCCCGCTCCCTCTCCAGTCCCAAGAGCAGTCAGGGTTCCCTGCCCTGAGGGAAGTCCAAGGTCCTCCCCCTTCCATCAGGTCTAGTAAGGTGAGCATCCAAACAGACTAGGCTCCCACAAAGCCAGTACATGCAGTAGAATCAAAACCCAGTGCCACTGTCCTTGGCTTCTCAGTCAGCCCTCATTGTCTGCTACGTTCAGAGAGTCTGGTTTGATCACAGGCTCCATCAGTCCCAGTCCAGGTGGCCTTGGTGAGCTCCCAATAGATCAGCTCCACTGTCTCAGTGTGTGGGTGCACCCCTCGCTGGTTCTGAATTTCTTGTTCATGTTCTCCCTCCTTCTGCTCCTCATTTGGACCTTGGGAGCTCAGTCCAGTGCTCCAATGTGGGTCTCTGTCTCTATCTCCGTCCATCGCCAGATGAAGGTTCTATGGTGCTATGCAAGATATTCATCAGAGTGGCTATAGTATAGGGCCAGTTCAGGCACCCTCTCCTCAGCTGCTCAAGGAACAAGCTGGAGATATCTCCTTGGACACCTGGGAACCCCTCTAGAGTACAGTCTCTTGCCAACCCTCAAATGGCTCCCTTAAATAAGATATATACTTCCCTGCTCCCATATCCACTCCTCCTCCATCCCAACTGTCCCATTCCCCCAAGCTCTCCCCATCCTCCCCTTCTCACTTCTCTCTCCCCATCTCCCCTCACCCCCCACCCCCAACCTCTTACTACTCAGTGGTAAAAACAATGACATTTTGAATTTTGCATGCAAATGGATGGAAATAGAGAACACTATCCTGAGTGAGATAACCCAGACCCAAAAAGATGAATATGGTATGTACTCACTCATTAGTGGATTCTAGCCATAAATAAAGGACATTGAGCATATAATTCATGATCCTAGAGAAGCTAAATAGGAAGGTGTGCCCCCCCAAAAAAAACATGCAGTTATCCTCCTGGATATTGGAAGTAAACATTTAACTTTTTCAAGTAAGGGGTTTGTAATTGAATAATTGCCAGTTGTTTTATGAGCGTGATTGTACTGTGAAGTTATTGTAGTTCCTTCAGATAAAGTATTGTATCTATACCAGAATTTGTAGGATAAAATTATTGTAGGCCCTTCAGAAAAAAAGTGTCGAATCTACACCAGACTTGCCTCTCAGCGGAGGTAGAGACTATCACAAATCACTATTGTGGCATTGTGGTGCATGCCTGTATGACCAGAATTTAGGAGGCTCAATTCTAGAAGTCAGAGACCTGCTGAGGCAACATAGTGAGCATAGTGAGACTCCATCTCAATGAGAGAGAGGAAAAAGAAAGAAAGGGAAGAGGCAGCCAGAGAAAGCGTGGTAGAAGGGAGCTATTTGCTCGGGAAAACATACTGTTTAGTGTTGTAAATTTGTATTACATTTTATTTATTTATATTTCTCTCTCACACACATCATGTACATACACACATACACATGCATACACACAAATGCATTCTCTCTCTCTCTCTCTCACACACACACAAACAAACACACTCACTAAAGGTCAGAGGACAAGTTGGGGAAATCAGCCCTCTCCTTTCACTATCTGGGACCATCATCTGCAGAGCCATCTCACCCTACCAAACCAGTTTTCGTGACTCACCCAATACCTTTCATTCCTTTTTCCCATCCACAACTGTCGATTGCAAACACCATCAAAAGCAGTTGTCTATCCAATGTGATTCTTTTACTTGCTGTCACAGGGTCACTGCCCCATAGGCAGCTTAGAGGAAGGAACATTCAGGAATGCATCCCCATAAATGCCCAATGTTGTCCTTTTCCAGGTGATTTTGAAATCCAATAATTGTAACTTCTTGTTGTTTCCACTTTGAACTATGGGATTTTTGTACAAATAAAAGTTTCAGGAACCTTTCATGCCTTGATACCTTTAGGCTCAAAAGTCAAACATTATCCAACAAAAAATCCCCACACTTGGTTGAAGAGATAGCTCAGAGGTTAAAAGTACTGGCTGCTCTTCCAGAGGACCCAGGATCAAATACTAGGACCCATGTGGCAACCCACAATTATCTGTAACTATAGTCCCAAGAAATCGTACACCCTCTTCCGACCTCAGAAAGCACCAAGGACATACATACCTGGTGCAAAGACATACGTGCAGGTAAAACATCCATATACATAAAAAGAAATTTAAAAAAAAATTGAATTTCCATAATTGGCTCTCATATTCGGCCTGACATACACAAACAAAAAAGTTATTTCTTCTCATGGTAACTTGGTATGTGGGAAAGTAAAACTGTGAAAACTTTCACATAATGTATGAGGGCTTCCAGAGACATTACACTATTTTAAAAAATCATACAGATTTCAGCAAATTATTGTTTTCTTCAGTTTAGGTTTTAAATGTTTACTACTACTACTGCTAATATTGCTACTACTACTACTGCTACTATTACGTCTGTGTCTCTGTGTGTGTGTGTGTGTGTGTGTGTGTGCGCGCGCGCGTGCTCCTCTGTGACCCGGGAACATTTATGGAGGTTAAAGGGCAGCTTGCAGGAGATGGTTCTCTCTTTCCACCGTGTGGGACTCAGGTCATCAGATTTGGCATTAAGTGCCTTTATTTGCTGAGTCATCTCATTATCTCACTGGCCTCAAACTAGTTTTTTTGTTGTTTTTATTTTTAAACAATCTTTTTTATTTTACGTACCAATCCCCGTTCCCTCTCCTTCCATTCCTCCTGCTCCCCACACCTTCTCCCGACCACCCTGCCTGCACCTGGAGGTGAAAGTCTGGGTTACTCCCGCGACACATCCCGAGCACCACCCCCACCCACTGAAGGCCCAGAGACCTGGCAGCAGCCTCCCCTTATCCCCAACAGTAGCCCGTGGCACCGGACTGGAGCCTTGGCCCCACCTGCACCTGGAGGAGGTGGGTGTCTGGCCTCCCAGGCCTGCTCTGTAGGCCCTAGCTTCCCCTGCCCCAACATGGCACGTCCCAATCGATCTCCACCCCTGCCCACCGAAGCTCAAACTAGATTTTAACTGAGGATGTGCCAGGCACGATAGCACAGTACTGTAATCCCAGCACATGGTAAACAGGCAGTTGTAGCACAAGTTTGAAACCAGCCTGTTCTACATAGTGAGTTTCAGGCCAG